AATAATTATTATTATTACTACTAATAATAATGTTAAACATGCAATAGACAGATAAGAGATTTCCTTTTGTTTGAACCACCTGTATGCATAAACAAACACACCACTAGCTAGATTGGTGTTGTGCTGGGCTGTGGTGCGAATGAGCCTGGTTCGATTCCCACTTAAGCTATTTTTAATGTGAGTTATCTATAAAGCTTTCAAGGCTGTCTACTTTCTTGGCTTGGTCTTATCGGAGAATGACCATAAATTTGGAGATATGCTATGTGACTTTACAGTACAGTGTTGATTTTTGTTCTTATAATTTCAAAATCGTAAACCTAGAATTACATTTTTTTTGGGTATACTACCTCCCTCGCCCCTCCAATGTCAACTTCACAGCGTTCTTAGTTTACAGTAAACTAACAATAAATCACCAGTCTAGGGTTACATTATATTTTCTTTATTATTTAACCCCCCCCCCCTCCACACAAATACATTCCTTCGAAGTGGGAGGTTGGTGGGTGCTCTGGTGTGGTTTGATCCTTCTTTCCTGTCAAACAGCTATCGTCCTTATCTCATTTCCTTCTTTTTTGTGTTTGTTACTCCCTTATGACACCTCTACTCTAATCTAATCTTCGGCACTTATAAACCTAATTGTGTTGTAAGTGCCATAAAATAAGCAAGCCAGTCCTGCTCCTTATCATGAATTAGTTAATTAAAACATGTATGACATGCATTTACTTTTTCTCGCTTTTTTTCTTTTCTGTCAGCCCACCATGGGTCAGGAATCTTCTAGGAATCCGCCTAAAAATTTCCCTGTGTTACAAAACATGACGCCCAAGCAAAAAGACGTGACAGTTAAACTGACGCCACCCAAACCATGGATCAACCCTGCACACTCGTCAGCTTACTCCATTCCCGCCCGTTTGTCTAGAGACAGTGGTCACGACTCCGCTGAAAACATTGCTCCAGATCCACCAGCAGACGATCCCCAGCCGCCAGCGAAAAGACGGAGAACCGAACCTTCAGCAAACAGCGTGGCGTCCACTGCCAGTGATTTCGGATTACGCCCCTTGTCAAGTAGTCAGACGACTAACGCTGGTGACGTCAGTGGTGGTGATGGTCACGTGTTCAAGAAGCCGATGGAAACTAAGCTGTGGACGCGTCTTCGGGAGCAGTCGCTGAGAGAAAGGAGAGACAACTTGCTGCATTATGGGACGGTCCACTCCGGAGATGTGAACTGGGAGATGGTGGGCTGGTTTTCTTTACTTCTTTTTAGTTACTCTTTTCCCCTTCCCAACCCCCTCTGTCTGACTGTCTGTCTGTCTGTCTGTTTCACACACACACACACACATACACACACACACACACACACATACACACACACACACACA